TTTCTTATATCTCGGCATAGCAAGAAGTAAACATTCATAGCTCAACTGAGCACTTGTCGAAAGGGCTTTGGAGTTACAATGGTTACAATGATTACCACTAGACAGGGGAGGTTCCACATCGTGACGCGATAGCCATCTCTTATAACAACCAAAGTGCTATCTAAATACCGGAAAATGATGTTTTTCATTAGTACACCAAACTTATTGACACTGACCGTCACTTTATGCAACATCATGCACGCCACATAGCAATTCGTCTCGTTTTTTATTCCATCAATCAGTTGGCACATCTTCACCAAGGCACACCCCCTAGGACATTTACAAATCTCCTAGCCAAATTCCAGCTAATTGCTCTCCACGTCACCGTGGGTTTGGAGGGTTTTAGAGATATTTTGATACCTTGCCTCGAATGATTGCGATTATGAAACTCGCAGTTGGATTGTATGAATTGTGATTGATTGAACTTCGGGATGTGATATGTTAATTATATTATTACGTTAGATAGACTCTCTAAGTTTCTAAAAAAGGCCACAAATGCTCCTTGTACCCTCATCTTTGGAGAGTATAGAAACATATAAAAAAATGCATATATTGTTTCTTTTGCATATTTTATCTTTAACAACCCTTTCTTGAAGCAAAAATTAGAGCTAAAATATTAGTTGTTAGAGGTCATCAAATATGCACAAATCATTAAAAGAACCAATCGAGCATGAATTCGTAATCGAAACACAATATGCATATTCACCAAGAGACATAACTAGGACATAGTACAAGTCCAGATGGGGTTTGTCCAATTCGTCTTGACAACTAGTGTTTAGTTGCCCCATTAGCACTCAACATCGCCCAACATCTCCCCCTCTCCAAGCAATAGCAAGGTGGATGTGAACCGACCCACCGTCTTTCTAATCACGGTTTGTCAGTTTGCTTAATGACAACCCGACGTCGATTACGATCCCTAATCACAACCCTTTTTCAACCCAATTGATCCTCTCGTTTGTCACGTAGGGTACGTAACTGGAGCCCAAAGTCGAGGTTTTTATGCTTGCGGGGGATCCCATACCGCGGATGAAGGACAAGTGTCAAAAAGATGCAATGCATGTCGAATCGATTTGAGCCTAAAGCGCAAGTAGAAAACAAAGGAATGGACATTTGGAAGGTGTTGATCGATCAAGGATCCGATTTCCTAGTTGACATATTTGGGTGGAAACGAAATTAGCATTCAATTAGGAGTTAATTTAATCCCCACCTGGTACCCCATGACTCTTAAGATCCAAGGGTTGAAAATGAACCTCTTAAATATGGAAAGTATTTGAGTATGTTATGGTTAGGCCCCTAATAAAAAAGATGACGGTTGATATGTCAAGATTTAGTGGTTCATATCGAATGCACGAGTGCCATGACATGTCCCCACTTGTGTGCATGTGTTCCTAATCAATAGTTGACAAGTCTCTAACTATGGTTGTACATGTCCATTTTAGGCAATAGACTAATTATAGAACATGCCGTCGTCAAGATAAGAATTCAACAAAAAATGATTGAGATATAATATCAATTTCGGGGCTTGTATTAGGTCCGGGTCAGTGCGTAAAAAGATAGTTATGCACAAACTGTTGGATGAGTGTTATGTGTGTTTGGAGTTAAACTTTATCACCAAATTATTTCACATGACAACCATTCAACAATGAATTTGTAAAACTATATTTCACACTGACGATGAATCTCATAAAAACCCGCGGTCTTGGTCAATAGACTCGGGTGAGGGTGGCTCAAGAAAAAACTTGGGTTGGAATGCAAGAAGCCTGAAGAACGGCGACTGAATGAATTGATGCTATTGAGTTCAGAGGTTTAAGCATTCATTCCGGAGATGGACTCTCACGGTGTGTAGTATTTGCTCATGTTTCGGCCGATGCACTACTTCGATACCGTTTAGGTTGCGGAAAGAGGACCACACAATCCATTACAATAGTGAGAAAAGTGGAAAAAATAAGCGACAAATTGAGAAAACTAACACGCTGAGATTTCGGAGGTGGATTAGAGTGTTAGAGCCTACTTCACGTGAAGAGGGAAGGCGATAAATCCGCTATTAACCACGGAAATCTTAGATCAAAAGCTCTCTTACACCCAAGCCTTTGGATTCCCAATCGATCTCACATAATGTTTCACTCAATCTCTCCACTATGTTCCTCAAAAAACTCTCAAAGAGAAATCCTAAAAGCACCCTCAAGAGTCTATGATGTGTATTATCCCTGTTCTCTCTGAAAAATGCTCTTAAAAATAGGCCAAAACATCGAGTCTCTAGATAGATGTGTCGAGTTTCGGGTGCCCGCCCACACTTGGCCGAGCGCTCGGCAAATGGGCAGTAGCCAGGGGCCTTGCCGGGCGACCGGTCATGGCATTCTGTTGGCTTATAGGCCCTTTTACCCGGGAGCTCGGCCTTTTGCCTGGCTGCCTCCCAACGGTCCGGTCCTCTGTGCACTCTTCCACCTTCGAACACCTCGCTAAACTCTCGAAACTTTGAATAACATATGAAACTTTTAAAGAAAAATAACTAATGCTTTCTACTTTTATTTAAGTCCAAACAGACAGGCCCTGAGTTATTGCAAGAAGCATCGTGATAATTGTCTAGATGCACTTTTTACCTCAAATCATCGAATTACAGCTGGATCTTAAAGGGTTAATGTTACTTTCATGCTTATAGTTTCTAAGAACTAAACTTGCACTCAACACATACCAATCAATCAGCATAGTATAAAAGCTGAAAGAAGAAAATCTCCATCCCAATCAAACCTCGTCAAATTGTGTTATGATCTCATATTGCTTATACAGCAAACAGAGAAGCTTCTTGAATTCTGTCTCCTCCTTCCCAATCTAGACAAAACAGCTTGTACTGTCCCCTTAATTTACGCACCAAGTGGTCCTTTCAAAATTGGGTATAAAATCTTTTGGTAAATCATTTCCATTGTACTCTAGTCACAACTGAAAGGACACGCCTCATTCTCCAACACCACCTAACTATGTCAGCTTTAATTAATCACAATTGCAATGAATACAACACAATCTTCTTGGGAGGGGGTCTCCTTCATATTTATGTTGACTTTAGGTTTTCGAGCACTTGTTGGGCAGTCAAACTACATTCGCATCTAGGGTTTGTCCTTCCGAAAAGATCCTGAGCTGCAATTGATGTTCAGAAAGGCACTTTGAACCTTAATCGACTCAAAAGAGATCAACGAATTCATGTGAGAGATCAGTGGCTGGGTATCATATACATTCATATTATATGCTTTTTTGTTATTTTAATGTGATCTTAGTACTAGTTGTGCTGGTTTTATTGACTAAAATGCAATATTAGGTGCAGCTGTCCTAAGGATCACAAACAAATGCAAAAATTATATATTGCTTTCAGCTTTGCTCACCACTCGATCTTAGACTTCTTAATTGAAGAAAATCTCATTAGCAATCGTAATTGGTCTATTTTAGTGTTTAAGAAAGGCCCATTTAAGTCTAAGATGCTTTGTCGTTTTCGTCACCCAACTCTTTCTTCCAAACATGGAGGATTATTTCTTTCAAGTTATTTTAGCACTAATCGTATTCAAATTGATGAGGGCACCATCTGAGATTAGTCACACCACAAGATCAAGAAATGTGATTGATTCCATTGGCTTCTTAATTCTTTTGGGAACTTGAAGTAATGGACCAAAGTGAATTACGTGTTCATGCTAATTCTAGTCTTAATCGCGAGGCTAATTTCCTCGATTAGGATGTCGCGATTAGCTGTCTAAGGGATCCTAAGAGGTTTTCCTGATTAGTTGGGGATTATGTGGATAATAAACATGATCTCTGACTCATGTAGTTCAGGGATGGTCCAAAGATTGCGGAACAGCGACCAGTTGGCATGAAATCCTCTTTTTGGGCTTTCCTCATGGGTAAATAGCATAGCAGTTGGCAAAGTCAAGTCAGTGAAAAAAAGGGCAAAACGTCTAATTATGGAGGTGGCAAAAGGTAAGCCAATCTTGTAGAATCCAATGAATATGCAAGTACTAACATAGTAAAGTTAGTCATTTGTAGATGTTAACCTACTAACCCTTTCAATCATCGATTATGCACACTGCTTCGAAAGTAGAGAAAGCGAATTGGTGGTCATTAAAGGAGATAAGTTATTGCATACTACATTGATTGTTAACGTGGTTTGTGATGCTCATATAAGATTTTCTTGAAAGGAGCACGATCAAATAATGATACATTACATCGCAATTTCTCTTGCTTTGTTTTGTCATTGCTTTCTCCTGGTATATAAACCATTTTGGTTATTGTACGCATCTTATAAATGCTTACTTGATGGGTTGGGTGTCTCCTGTTGCCGGAAACGCATGCTATATGATAAAAATCTTTACATGATATACTTTCATCTGATGCACAACACAATCATTTGCATTGGAGCTTTCCTGGACGGGGCAACCCGTGTTCACAAAATAGTTGGATCGATCAACAGCGACAGTATTTTACACGGGGACTGCTATAGAATACCAATCCGACAGTCGCTTAACTTACAAGTGTCGGCTATTTCAAAATGCAGGAACATGGTTGTGGATGAACTGGTTCCAGGATTGCCATTACAAACCGCAATATATGCAGAACGACTCCTTCATAACTGCCATACAACATCGGGCAATTAAGCATTATGATAGGAGAAGAGAGCAAAGGCACATACACATCAGAATGGGGATACTCCTTAACTCATGAAAAGACCAAATTAACGAAAGTGGAGGTGGAGTTCTATAAAATTGTCTAGTTTTCCTGGTCATTAATTCTTTTTTCCCGTCCTTCCCTCATGAATTTCAACCAAGTCAACTTATTGGGTTGACTTCATATGTCACGTCGGAGATTTGACATGAAAGTGTACATGGACATTACTCGGCAGCTTCGTGTTCTCGTGGCTCTCTGGAATTTGGAGAAAGCCGACCAGAGAAGAAACTTTCCGTTATTATATAAGCACAACAAAGGAACATAACAATAGTGCTTTTCAAGAAGCTGTAATTGATCAACCTATAGAGAGAGGGTGTATAGCAGCCGAGTGAAGTGATGCAATGCTATGCTGTCGACCCACTTTGAATCAAGTTTGTGTAGAGATTGAACCTTGATTGACTGCTCCTCCTCAGCCAACCACTAATTTGGATAAGCATATAATACCCAATAGCACACCACTCTCCCTTGCAATGACTCATTCACAGATCCTAAAAAACTATAGATAGAGTAAAGATAATCTCAATGTAAGAGAAACTAGAAAACCTGTAAAACTTCCAGTGAACACGTACTTGAAGATGCTCTTGCTAAAAAAAAATTTCAAGATGCTCTCGCTGAAAGGAACAAAAACCCCAGTAGAACAGAGAGGAGAAGCACGAGAATAGCTGCCACGGCGCTAAAACTGGATTGCTTGTTAGATTTCTGGCTACTTTCCTCGCTCTTTGCGTCAGCGCCAGGCTTTTCTGAGAGAGATTTAGAATCCAAATGCAATGGTGATACTACGTCCCAAAAACACTTAGCGACGACTGCAGGGGCTTCTCCTTCCGGTTCTAGTATGTTGGAGGAATCTGTGAGAACTTCCATAGACATCAACTCAGCACAATGATCCTTAAGAACCTACAACATCGCAAGAACAGAACAAAAACCATTTTAATCATGCTACTCTGAATCTGCAGACGACAACTTTTAGTGCTTCAATTGCTCAAGAACACAGTTGAACCACTTGTTTATCAAGTCACAAGCACAAACCTCGAGCGTCTCTGATGGTTGTAAATAGTCACAAATTAACGTTCCAGCCAACCAAGGCGCAAATACTCTTCGGGGAAATGAAAGACCGCTTGGTTTCCTGCTTTGATCAGGATTATCAAGTGGGAGCCAACAACATGTGACCACCCGTACAAAAGAAACCAAAGTAAAGATGCAACTTCAAAGTACCAGTTTCATGGTTCACATAAGCAAGTTTAAGGAATTAAGCGCAAGAAAAAGTGAGCATGAAGTTTAAAAAAGCAATTAAACCAAATTGAAAAGGAAAGGAAGAATGTGACAACATAAGCTTGAAGATAGTTACAGATTTCATGTTAATTAATTGCCTTCTGCTGCCCGGCTAGAAACTTTCCCCGAGAAAGCTTCTGAAGTAGACAGCAAGGAAAAACAGACCAGCGCTCTTAAAAACCATATCATCATCATTCCAAACACAACCAGGATCAAGTATAGGGGTCAAGGATACCAGTGAAACAGACTCGAATCCTGCTAAATATAATCCAGAATCAAGTACGACTACATTTTTGGCGGGGTATGGACCTAAATGTACTTAATTTACTATGAAACAAAAACTGATCAAAGGAAACCTTCATATACACGGACCCATGTTTCTCTCTCCACTATTGAACATTGACTAGGATGATTGCCGAAAGGAAGATATTTGAAAATCTTGCAATCCACAGGTCAATTCACATGAAACAACACAGAAGATTTCCGGTGCCATCATTAGTTCCTCTAGTTTCTCAATATCATGACGCAGCTTTAAATCTTACCCTTGAGATAATATGGTTTTTGTTGTAAGACCTTAGAAATACATGCATGTAAATAGAACAGCATAAACTATTGTCAACTAAAATTTGTCAGCCCAAACAATCAAACTCTGGTCAACAAACAATTTACACGTGGATCTGAGATTAATTCAACCAGTAGTTATACTGGATCCTCCATTGACCCAGTTTTCATTTTCATCTTCCACTACAAACCAGAGTTCATCCAAGCTGGGGTTTGTAATTTCAATGATCCAAATTCGTTCACTTTTCCTTCCCTCGTACATCTTCTACCAGCCTTGCTTCTTTTGCCAAGTAATTATCGAGGAAATTCATTGATCTTGCTATGAGAGAAACGACTCCACAGATGATATGACAGTTGAATAATGGTAGAGAAAACAAAAGAACAGCACAAAACAAGACAAACTGGAAAAATAATAAGTGCTGAAACAACTATAACAAATACCCAAAGTTACACTAGCAAAGCAATAGAAAGAACATAAGGTGGTTGTTAGTACACCTCAATGACTGGAGGTCAACTTGCGAAATAAGATTTTCCATTTGTATATCTGGGCTAGATTCCCTGCAACTGTTGTCCGACGGACTTAGATCTGCGTCCGCCTCATCAAGGATAATGTCTAGTCTACTTTGCAGACTTGTGATAATATCTGCCTAGAAGTACATGAAAAATCCATGAATGCTAAGGAGAAAAACAATGACTGAAAAAGGGATGAGATGTTTTTCATCAACATTTTTCATAAGGAGAAAGCTCCTGGAATGGCTGCCAAAGGGAACTAAATCTAGAGGTTCATACTCAGGAGTTGCAAAGGAGGCTTGCCCGAGGAATATACTAAGCTATGTTTTGGTGGGTTGGGCTTTACAATTTATGGCAATTTAAAAATTATTCTCGAAAAGAAATCTATCTGTAAAAGCACTAACACAGTTTAGCAGTTACCAATGAAATTTTATAATTTTTCAGAAAACAAATGGATTGTACTACTAAATACAGATAAAATGGTATATTGTTGTCCTTTGGAAACATGGGGTTTGAATACCAATTGTTAAAGTCAATGCCAAACCCAATGAACCTATGCATGCAAATGTCTGCACTTATACCTATATGCCTACGTGCTCACACGCATGCACTAAATTTGTTTGAGGGCAAAACAGAAACGCATTATTAGCTTCATGCTATAGAAAAAGCACAAATAATGAGTCAGAATGCTGTGAGACAATGGATATTACCTTGATATCAGCAATAGCTTGCAAAATTGATTCCTTTGAACTCAGGAAAGCAAATGAACATACTGAACCACTGAAGAGAAGTATGCCAACAACATTTTCTAAGCTGCTCGCTTTACAAGCATTGAGACAGTGGAAAAGAAGAAAATTAGATTGACATGCGGAGCAGCTTTGGGAAAATTAAATCCAGATTCAAGTCCAACTCACCTTCTAAACATTTATCATTCATAAAAGGCAGAAGTAATTCGACATCATGAAAACCCTCTGACGTGCACGGTTCATCATTAGTGACCTGACGTTGAGAGAGAGAGAGAGAGAGAGAGATTAACAAATGAAGGCAAATATGCGAATCTGTAAAAGGAAACTGCTATAAAGTATACTCGAGGCCAGAATGATTAATTACAATTTGAGTAGCAGTAAAATGAAAAAGCATCAAGCTTCACCAGGATTTAAAAAAAATTCACATTAGTTGATGGATGGCACTAGACATGCATCTGGAATTAAGATTAACAAAACCTTGAGGCAGTATTTTCACAACTGAGCATTCTTGAAGCTGGTCAAACATTGAGGGTATCATGCAGCATCATGCTATGCCTTAACAAGCATTTCAGATTGCCAAAACAAATTCCTCATAAAAAGAAATGCATCAGTACATCTACTTAACTACCGTCCAAGAAAAGATGGTCACAGAATGAGACCCATGTACCCCTCCAAGACATGAATCAAATCATCAGTGACACAGTGCAAACACGAGTCAAACCCGTCCATAATGAGGCCTCAACATAAATCCCATCCAACACCCCAACCAGCCTATCCCACCAAATAAAAAAAGAACAAAGAGAGAAAAATCCTCTCATAGGCCTTGATTGGTTTACTGTTAAATTGACTTACTTAAGGAATGACATCCTATTGCCAGAATTTTCATGTTGCAAAATCCAATTCATAAATAAAGTTTCTATCCGGAAATGAAAAGTCAAGTATTAAAAATTCGAATCATAAGTGATCGAAATGAGGTTTTAAAGATTTCAAGGTTCAAAGGTTCATGAGAAGGAGTCATTCTCAGGGAAATTAATGCATATGTGGCCAAATTACAACCAAGTATATATACGGTGCGGTTCAAAGTATAATCATAATTCTGCTAACTACAGCTGATTACAGCAACTCATTTTATAGTTTTGCCCCAAAAGTTCAGTTCAGCTAACGAATAATTTATTGCATTTAATTTGCCTTAGCCTGTATTCCATCTCTATCTTACTAAGAAATATATATACCCTTCACCTTCTATATGAATGGGTTTTTAATACCCTTCCCCAATTCTTCCTTCTCAAGACGAAATGCTCTTAAAGCAATGGCCATTTTCACAGGATCTTTTCCCATCTAATTAGAGAGGATGTGTTTCAAATTATTGGGACTATGGAGTATGGGTTTATTGCTTGAAAGAGCAAGTGTAGTTTGCAAAACTCTGTAATTTCTATAGCTTTTGCAGGCACATTAAGGCAATAATTCTGGCATTCTCATCCTAAAACTGAAAATCAAAGAATTTATGCATGTAAAAAAGGTGGTTATAAGGTAATAATTTTGACAGAGTAGTTGATAGACTTACCAGGTTTCCATCAACTATGGCCCTTGCACTTCTTAGCTCTTTAGCAATGACTGAAATTCCACTACGAAGTACATGACCAAGCTTCCGGGCATCTGATGCACTCTCACGGCTCACCAGCAATCTAATTTAACATTTTTTTCATAGGCATAAGCGATTCAGCATTACCACAGAGGTGGAATTATTCCTACCAATTAACCATTGTGTGAAACAATGCCGAAGGCCAAAATGAACCAAGCAAATAAAGAAATTTCTGACAATAATGACTAGTCAACCATTTTGAGTCGTTCTGAAAAAGAGTGCTCTTTCTTTTGATTAGACCAATTAGTTCTCTTGCAAAGGCTTCGAGAATTTTTACTGAAAAACTGAAACTCCTTAGGCTAAAAAAAAAAATCAACTAAATCATCCATTGTTCAGAAACAGAAGATAAACGTGAAGTGTAACATTACCTCATATTGAAGTTGTAAGTACACCTAAATTTCTGAAGAGAAGTTAAGACTTTTCCCATTTTGAAATCACAAGGCTTAAGGCTGCTAGACGTGATGTTTGATGCCAGTACACAATTTCGGCATGTCCACCTACAAATTTAACTTGTTAAAGCAGGTACTGCAAAAGGTCAAACATGTCAAGTGACATGGTAAGAATAGGAACGAGTTATACCTCCTTGGACTATAAGAAATATGTATGAGCAGTCTTTCCTCAGTATCAGTCCCTGAGGAGGGTGGTGCTGCCCCGGCGACTCCCTTTATGGTCTGCAAATGCCATTTTCGACCAAGTAAACCCAAGAACATGAACTCTGCTCTAGAAAAGATAATCTCTTCTCATTACAAAAGCAGGAACATATCAGTTTATGAATCAGCCTAGATCGTAGGGTCAAATCATTCATGAACACTTGCCAACATAAAATGCTGATTTGCAACAAGTGGAGTAAAATTTACACATGTCAGTTTCTGTCTCGTGATTGCTAAAGTATGACCAACTTAAAAGAAAAGTATCGAGTAACTAAAATTACACTATTCACTAACAAGATTATCGAGAACACACTCACAGATGTAGATCAACTCAAAAAGCCAATATCAAATGAAGAACTAGAAACGAATGACTGAGTACCTGGCAAAGTTCTATGGTCGAATTCTTGAGCGCACTCTCACTGGCCCATACGTAGATGCCGATCACCCTTATGCCACCCACAAGCATTTTGGACACCTGAAACTTACAAGACTTAGTCCATGTCCTTTCGGCTTACCGTTGAAAACTAATTCTCAATCGCCACTGGCCCATAAAAAAACATAATTCGCCTAATAATATATTGCAACAGAGAATTTGCCCCGGAAACCATTCTGATAGACTCGATCAATTATGACAGCGCCTACATTACAGTAGAGTACACATCAAAGGCATGAATCCTTATATTCGCAAATATTCCTTCATCGAATCAATCCACTCCACTGCATCATCGACACATGCATGCAATGATGCGTCAAAAGACTCGCTAAATTCACAACAATCCCATCAAATTGTGAGATGAAACTACCTGACGCGCATGCTCAGCGACCCAATCTTTGTCTATCGCCACCGACGACGAATCCGAAGATCCCTGAGACTTGGATTGCTTCGCCCCCTTCCTCTTGTCGTCTTTGACCGGCTCGACGAGGGAACAAGCAGGCCGTCCCTCGTCGTTCGGCGGCGTCGGGATCAAACTGAAGACGAAGCCTCTGTCCAGGCTCGAGCTGAGCTTGCCGATCACAAGACCCACCTGCAATTCGATACACCCAGCAATTTTCCCGACAATCAATCAACGAAGCGAACCACACATCACGAAAATCAATTGGTGCAGCACCTGAGCGGGAATCGACGAACTGGACAGGCGGTCCTCCGTCGATTTCAGCTGGGCTTCTTCTCCGACCACCGCTTTCACCATGCTTCTTCTACGGGGTCCGCGAGCAGGGTCCGCTTCGCCTTCGATCAATCGCCTTCTCCTTTCCTCCCTTCCCTTCGGAAGCGTCGGACGGAGATGGCCGTCGTCCTCCCGTCGGATCTCGCCGGCGTCGGAACTGAGGACCGGTGAGCTGCGCCTCAGAGTCAAGAAGGGTGACGATGGCGAAGAGGAAGAGAAACGGGTTTTCGGCGAGAAGAGTCTAGCGTGGAGCGTCCGGACCCGGTTCGGTTTCGGGGCGCAATGAAACCGAACTAATCCGATTCGGTTGAAAGATAAAACTAAATTGGACCGCCTAAGAGTTCCGAATCGAACCGGTACGAACATGATCTAGAAACGTTACCTAAAAAAAATAAAAGATTAACACCACGAAAAACCCAAAACCGGTACACACGTGACAATTTTACCCCAAATTAATTTTTTGACTACCGAAAATCACAAACCGGTACATTTGTCACAAATTTACCCTCCATTAAATTGGATTAATACCACGAAAAATCACAAACTGATATATCCGTGATAAATCGAGGGTAAAACTCTAAACTAGTATACCCGTCAAACTGCCATGTGTCATCCAACTCAGAAATTTAACGATAAAATTTAATGAAAACTAATAGAAGGTAAAATTATCATATGTGTATCATTTTGGGATTTTTCGTGATATTGACCCAAAAAATAAACACCAGGTTGTTGTTAAAACATTGATAGAAAGGATGGACCAAACGGAACATTAATGCCAAATAACTTAAAGCCCATTGTACTAGTAGTCTTTTTGAGTTGTAAGTATATATACCTCGCAATTCTTTAATAGCTTGTCGTTAAAGTAAACAAAGGTTTGCTCAATTCAACATGGTATCATAACTAAGAAATCGTGTATTCTTTTTTTGTTGGAAATAAACCGCTTCTATTACTTCAAGCGAGTCCCACAAGCACACGACAAACGGGACTCGGAATAGATAAGGTCCCGTCAAAATTTGCGGGGTCTCCCAATCACTAGGGAGAGCTTTTCACCTTAGGCCTTATAAATCAAATCTGTCACTTGATTTGCTTCCCTAAAATTACGGGCTACTCGAATGTTCTTACATAAGGCCAGCATATGTGTGCACCGTGAGATACGCGGCTGCACATCCCAAAGTTGGCAAATCACGATTTGCAAGTGCACTTGTCAATGACCAGCTATCAAACTCTAAAAGTAATTAGTTCAAAACTGGATCCGAACGTTGAAGTCTTCAACGCAGGCAAGGGTTATTCCACCAGCTTCGGGGTGGACACTTGCACCTCCTTCGCAAATATCCTTCCACGAGCTTCTCCAAATCGTCCCTACATACGCAGGCGATGCCCACTTGTTGTCTCTCCTATTATACAGATTGAGCTCTTCCTTGTCATCGTCCGATGTTGAAGGTTCACCTGCATCATTGAAGCCAGTTTTAAGTGCAACAACCTCCTTATCTTTATCACGGGAATCTTCATTACGATGTTTTAGCTTCATAAGACATCGAGGCTCCAATCAGTTCATCCATGGAACTCCTCGAGTTGAGCTACGGTAGTAATAAGGGTTGCTGCACCAGGTTGGTTTTCCCAACAAGAATTACACTCGACATTCTTTAATTGATTGGTCAATTGCATATTTAGTAACATGGTACCAGAGTCTCTTAGTGAAATTAAGGTTCAAATCGAAAAATTTTGCTGCCGATAGATTCACTTCCAATCTTGGCCAAAAAAAAAAAGAGAAATTCTAGTGAGGTGTACAAACTTTCTAGTTTCGCGTGCAAAACCATCTCATCTTATACCTCTTTCCCGATCCCATTAGATAGAGCGAATCAAACTCAATGAACATCGTGTTAAAACATCATTTCCCATCTCTTTCTCTATCTCATTACTTTGCAAATTTCCGCTCACTCGAGACATCGCTTGATGGTATCAATCTCCGAAGGAGGAGAAACACTCGTCAAGATCCGAGTCCATCATTATTATTGATCACGCAAATCGCACGCGGACTCGAGTACTAGCCGTGAAAGTTAGTAGTCGTGTTAAAACATCATCTCCTGTCTCTTTCTCTATTTCATTACTCCGCAGATTTCCTTTCACTCGAGGCATCGCTTGATCGTATCAATCTCCGAAGGAGGAGAAATATTCGTCAAGATCCGAGTGCATCATAATTGCTTAATCACGTGCATCTCACGTGGACCGGACTCGAGCAGTAGCCATGAAAGTTTGCAGTCGAAGTTTGAGAGATTATATTTGACTTCTCGCTTGTTTTTCTCAACATTTCATCTAGGCTTTTTGACTTGGAGGGTCGTGATACATTGCATGTGTCGCGCGAGTCCAAAAATACGAAAACGACATATGTACAAGATGTGATGTTAGTATGTTACCTTAATTATTATTATTTTTCCTCCAAGACAATCACAGCACGAGTGGTGAGAATATTCTCGAACGTGTGCAAAAATATATTCCAGCATAATCTTATTAACCTCAATAATTGATCGTTGGGGGCTTCTTCATGGAAATTTTTTTTTTTTTTGGGTGGGTCAAATTCTTCATCGATTTCAAATCCCATATATTTTTTTTAACATTACCCTCTTCTCCAATTAATATTACATAAATAAATAAATAGAAAGGAGAAAATAAAAATGAGAAAAAAAAAAGAGAGAGAGAATTGTAAAACGTGCAATGGAGCCACAGAAAGGTCGCTCTCGAGGCATCACATTACTTCCACGCATCCTCATCCAGCCAGGTGGGCCCGGCCCGGCCCAGCCCAAAAGGGGCCCAGGCGGGGCCCACACTGGCCCACGCGACGGCGTGGTGGCGACCGCAATTATTGAATGTAGTCGAAATGATTAGATTCTTTAATGCGCTCTTTTTTTTTTTCTCTTTTCCTTGATAATTCGATGATGATAATCCCCCTATCTCACCCATAAATATATGATTTTGCGATTGAGTTTGGGGACGAACGATTTGGAAATATATGACGCGAGGAATTAAAAACAAAAATAATCGGGAAAATCTCGGATTCGTTGAGTTCCAACCGCATTCATAAATGATGAAAATCGATGTGGCTTTTGATAAGAAAAAGAAAAGCATCGGCTTCACGAGGAACCGCATTCAATCTATTTCAATAATGGAGAGAAAAGGAATATGACATACGTTATCACGTGAAGAGACAGGACGGTCTAAATTATTGCGCTTACCTAAATTTTTCTCTTAATAAGAGGAAGACGATAATCCAAATAAGGACGCCAAATGAATAGGCATTAGAGGTCAGACATCTAAGAGTAGATATGCCGCGCAGGTCGTACTTCGAAAGCATCTACACAATCGGCCTTCGAATCTTCCTCTTGTATGAACAGGATGCATACACTTTCGATTCGGATTGAATTTAATGAATCTCATATCAATTATCGATAGATGCATGACGTGTGGCGTGCGCATGCTATGATCTATGTCAAGGTCCCTCATGGCTCGACTCAATCGAATTGAATCGAATCGAACTGAACTAAAATTATCAATTCGATCTTGTTTGCAAAAAGTGTCTAGCTCTATCAAAACTTCACTATATCACGCAGCTGTATCATTAGATAATGGGTCGAGTTTCCTAACCAGTTCAAGTTTCGATGGAGCTGGATACCACGAGAGTCAAGAGCATTCGATAAGAGAAGTGGCAAAAAAAATAAAGGATTATTTCGGAGTGCGTTTGTTTCTCAAAAAATGAATAATTCGAAAAATATTTTCTCAAAAATAATCTCTTATACCTCTCATAAAAACGAACGAACAAAATATTTTTTTATCGTTTACGAAAATATTCGAACAAAAATTATTCTCGATAATAAATTTTTTTATATTAACTAAATATTACGAGCGATATAAATATTAATTTTAAAAAAATATATATATATATATATATATTTTTTTCAAATCAACCAGCGGTCGAAACCAGGAATCCATTTGTATTGTCAAACATTATCTCCCGCTGTCGGACCCACCCACCATTATAAAAATCGGCCACGTCAGTAACACGAATCAGCTCCCTCTCTCTCTCTCTCCTCCTTTTGCGTTCTTCTCGTGCAGTCCCAACAACCCCACCCCAAGCTTCATCTCCAATGGCGTCCTCCTCCTCCACCACCACCACCACCACCACCACCACCCACGCCTGACCTCGAAACCCTAGAGAGAGAGAGAGAGAGAGAGAGAGAGAGAGAGAGAGAGAGAGGAGAGAGAAGCGCATCTCCGCCTCCGGAATTCGCCGTCGCTTCCGGCCATGGACGGCAGCGCCTACGGGAACTCCTCGTACCCGGACTCCGGCAACTCCTCGCCGCGCTCCCGCGACGTCGACCTCGAGAGCTCCTCCTGGGACGAGCCACCGCTCCCCAACAGCTACCGCGTCCGCTTCATGTGCAGCTACGGCGGCAAGATCCAGCCCCGCTCCCACGACAACCAGCTCGCCTACGTCGGCGGCGAGACCAAGATCCTCGCCGTTGACCGCGCCGTCCGCTTCTCCTCCTTCATGTCCAAGCTCTCCTCGCTCTGCGGCGGCGCCGAGGCCTGCTTCAAGTACCAGCTCCCCGGCGAGGACCTCGACGCGCTGATCTCCGTCACCAACGACGAGGATCTGGAGCACATGATGCTGGAGTACGATCGGCTGTGCCGCGCGTCGGCCAAGCCCGCGAGGCTGAGGCTCTTCCTGTTCCCGGTGAGCAGTTCGGCTTCCGCGAGTTTCGCGGACGGCGAGGGTAAGTCGGGGAGCCAGTGGTTCGTGGACGTCCTGAATTCGGTTCAGATGCGGAGCCTGGAAGGCTCGTCGCCGCCGGAATCGACGGCGGCCGTGGCGGCGCTGAATCCGGACTTCCTATTCGGCTTGGAGAAAGGATTCCCGGCGAGGAAGCTGCAGGATCCGCCGGCGATGGCGGCGGCGGCGGCGGCGGTTCTCGATAGGGACGTTACGGCCGGATCAGACTGCGGATCGGAGGACCAGCACGTGATCGGAGAGCCGGTGATTTCGCAAGCGGAGATTCACCGCCAGATTCAGGAGCTGCGGAGGATGCAAATGGCCGGACACGAGGAAGTTCATTTGTTGCATAGAAAAGTGGACGATGCAATTGTCTACCCTAGAGCTTCCGCCGGTGACTACTACGGACACCGACCGCCCGAGAAGGTAGCATCGCCGGCTCCGGCGCCGGTGGCTGTTCCGGTTCCGATGCAGATTCCGGCCAGTTTCCCGTCGGAGCGCCACATGACAAGCGGAGGTTATACTATTGCGGGAGCCGGAAATGAGCAGCCGGTTTATTATGTACAGGCTCCGGCAGGCAGCTACATGGGGGCACCGCAAGCGATGCGTCCGGTGACTGGACAACCTGGCCAGGCGGGTTTCTACGGAGTGCAGAGGGTGATGCCGGATATCTTCCGGGAGCAGCCGGTGTACAATGCAGTGCCACAGGCACCGATTCAGCAGCAGCAGCCGCCGAAGCTCATGGGTTACAGCACGGAGGGAATACAAGTGATGCAGGCACAGCCAAAGGTCCAGGTTCCCGAGCCGGGTTTCCATCAAATGGTGTATGACGGGTCGGGTCGTCAGGTTTACTACACAGCCATGCCGGGATCAATGGCGCCACCGTATCAAGCGGCCGCCGACGGGAGGCAGGGGGGCGGCGGTGGCGGCGGGGCGGCGAACCAGGAGGGCGGCAAGGTTGTGGGAAGGGGTGCTCAATCTTCTTCGATATGATAGAAGCTATTGTCTATATTGGTGAATTGAATATATGAACACCTTTCAATATTAATCTTCTCTTATTAAATTATTTGGTGAGCGTTCTCTTCTGCTATCATGTTCTTGTTCAGTAGCGAGTTTGGAGTGCAGTAACCTGCAACTCATTTTTTTCCTTTTTCCTTTTTCACACGTTCAATTTGCATTCCTTGTGGCTTGAAGAAAATCCTGATTCCTGAGTCACCCCGTTGAGACTCTGTACTCGCAAAGCTTACATGAATTGAATTGCGAATGTTGTTATGAGCCGTCTAATTAACTATCAACTATCAGGATGTAGGGTTTCCATATAGTATAACATTAGTCTAGTTAATCACTTGTCGGACTGCTCGTCCGTCGTGTTCAGCCGCAAGAATTGCTGAGTTCCGCTAATTCCCGACACATGTTGAGGGAGGAAAAGTGCCTATGCTGCAACATCAGTAGTACTATCATCATGTTTGAAAATGTCTCAATACTTGAAACAAACTATATAATTCCGTCGTGAGTAATATGCACTGTCAGGACCAGAAATTGACATAACATACTATGGTTTAGACTTCAACATCGATCACATATCCCTTCTAGCGACCTCCACTGCAACGGCTGCTGCAACTGCCGCCTCCACCACAACCGCCTCCCCTGCAGTTCCCCCCGCCACAGCCGCCACCACAACCGCCGCCGCAACCGCCGCATCCACCAGCACCAGCAGCCACCGTTTCTGCCGAAGAAACATTGCGGTTATCTGCATTGGGGACACCTTCATTGCTGCCACTAAAACTCACTCGCGTTTCTATTCGTTCCTGCACATCGCCTTCATTGCCAACTCCATCGACACAATTTGAAAACATGATGGTGGTCACCAAAAATTGGTAATTATCTGCATAAAGGTCGCTCGAGTATTTGCCTTCCACCTCTTTTCTGTTGTCTTCCTTGCTGCAGACGCTTGCATCCAGAGCTTCATCCATCCATTCCTCGTTCTCTTTGTTATTCGTAATGTGTTGCAGCATATTTGACAGTATGAATGCCGATATTATTGCGGGCAGTACCATCCAATCTTCTTTCACCTGTTAATCAGGGAAGATGTGTCGTAGCAATTCTTCATTTTCTTTTTTACTGGAAATGGTCTTAAACAAGTAAAAGATGGTCGTTTTTACCTTTAGTATGCCACATTTCAAATTGAGCAATGCCACCGGCTTCCCGTAGGGATATGCCGCTGAAAATTCCACTGCTGTCATGACTACTTGTTCATCTTCCTTCTCACAACAGTTTCTAACCTCATATTCTAGCTTTCTTCCAGGACATATGATGACCTAAAGAGCACAGAACGCGCAATGATGAGTTGCTAATTAATAGCCCAGACTCTTCCAGAGTGAACTGTAATTCATTGTGAAATGATACATAGTAGAACTCGTGGAAGGACTTGTTAGATTGCGAAAGCACTTGTTGCATCGCCATTTAATCTCTGGCTGAGATGTTTCATCATGAGCAGTTCTACACGTACAGAATATGGACTATGAATAAGATTAGAAGGACAAAAGATGCTTACTTGTCTATCACCCGTGAGCTTAAAAACATGGCCGTCTCCTGAGGAATCTCTCTCTAGGTGAAAGAACCATTTAGAGTTCATCAGAGACCATCCTGTTCCTTGTAATTCTGCAAGTAGATATGTTTTACCATCTCCAGCTGTTCTAATCAGCTCTCTCGGAAGCCGATTTTTGTCTGCCACAACTACTTTGGAATCCCTATCACGGTCAATAGTAAAAACTGATTAATGGTTGCATAATCCTGCACGTGTGAGGTTATAGGGATATTGACCATTTGTGTTTCCAAGGAAGGAGAATGCTAGCCTTGGGAACTAATAATCAGGACGGTCTGGATCCTAAAACCCTAGTCAGTTCAAATATGTTGCTCAATGTAACGTAGATTCATGCATCAAACCGTGTTGTCATTTCTAATGGCTTGGCAAATTCTAGCAGTGAGTTCCATTCCAGTAAATTTTATTCTTTAACTACATTATACTAGAAAGAAAATGCAAATTAATTATTGAATGATATAGGTAGTCAGTAATGCATATACCTCATCTGGATGTTAATGATTTCATTGCCACTCTCTTGTAGGAAGCTAGCACTTTTCATTGATGGATTAGCAGGAATCATTTGTAACATGTATTCCATTGGAACAGGAGGAGTGAAAGACAGGGCGATACGGATGCAGACAGGCCTGGAATCCAAATTCTCCAAGTCTGTTGGGAGCTCAAACCAATCGTCCATCCAGAGGGGAGATCCGGGCTCCAACAGTTTGGTCAAAGAGACAGAAGTTCTCCCCAGTGGTGTTTCTAATTTAGTGAAAGTGTTATAACGCATGAGTTCGAAAACGAGCTCTCCGTCAAGTTCACACTGAAAGCTAGCGACCTGTTTGTACCCTGATTCAGACTGTATGCTTAGTCTTCTTTTGGTGTTGAAGTGCACATCTGGCTCTGCTTTTCTCAAGGTGACAAAGAGATTGCCTCGATGCCTAACTGGTAAGTCCTTGATTGCTGCAATCCCCACCATGACCTTTACAAGAATAACAAAATGAGGAAATGAGATTTTATCCAATTTATGCATTACAAGGTAGTGAAAGTCACACTTCCTCCATCTAGTGTTGCGCCCCAGATTTTAATAACCTCGAAGCTTATAGGATTGTCTATGAGCCATCTCTAGCATGAAGCTAACTGTAATAGCAATTCTTCGGTGTTCCAAAATCCAACAAATATACAAGGAAAAGTTGCATAACATTTGAGTAGCTTCCTCTACATACCAACAAAGTATATGCTGTAAATAGACCTGACTTTATGTTGAAATAAAAGAACAGAAACAGTTGGTGTTACAGCTGCATTTGAAGTTCATTTAGTTCTCCCGACACGCAACTAAAGATTTGAGTGGGGCCAGCTTTTCTGTATTTGGACAAAGCCACATATTAAGTGCAGCTTCTACGGTCAGATAACAGTACATGTGTGCTGAGCACTGTTTCATAGCCCCCATCGTGAGGTTTGTGCCATACGGTAAAGGAATATAGGAAGGATCTGGATTGCTTTGGAAGTTTAATTACCTCTACTAGCTTTTTTTGGGGAAGTGGAATGGTATTCTGAAACCCGTCAGACGAAACCGCCTTCTTGGCCACTGTATTCAGCTGAATAGGAGTTATTGTCAGTGGAGATGGAGTGCTGCCTCTATGCATTGCTCCTGCCTTCCAATAGCTCATACCAAATGTCTCTTCCCACAACTTTGTGGTTTGGGAAAACCCCGCATTGAGTTTTCCGCCCTTAGTCCGATCAGAATCAGTATCGTCATGCTCTAACACCTTCCCGATAATTGCCACCGTGTCTCTACAGTATGAAGCAGGGTTTAACTGGTGAGTGTGCCAGATGAGATCGATGTCGTAAGTCGGGACACAAAAGCATCTGTTTGCCTTTTCTCTATTTCTCTTGATCAGATAGAGAAAAGCCTTGTATCTGGCCACGGCTTCTTTAAGAAGTACATGGTCGTTCATATATGGTCTGGACACCTGAGCAAGAGAAGCGATCCTGTGAGTAATTGTCCACTGTCAAAGAAAGGTTAGACAAAATCCATATGCCAAAGGTGCGCTTCAATGTGTTTCGCCAGGAAGTGACCTGAGCTGAAAATCATGTGGCAAGATCCATACAAAACCAGCCAAGAACCAAACTTAACAGGTATGAGTAACACGAGTAAAAGAGACATTTTAGATAATGCCATTTGGTTGGATGTCGTCCATTTCAGGGTTCAGTTCAATTAGTTAGATGCGATTTTTAGTTTCTCTGGGTTTCTTGTTGTATCCCCAGTATCCCCAGTGCCAGAGTTCATTAGATGCAAACAATTTTAACCAAGAACGGTGATATGTATGAATTCAAATTCAGGGAGATGTAGAATGATCAGTGAGAATAGGACTTCAGGAGTCTAGAGATCATGTACAGTGATCCTTCTGAAAGAATCATAGCCTTTAGGTGATAAATAACTCTGATGCCTGATAAATTCATCCCCGTACCTGGTAAAAGAAAGAACTCTGCCTCTTGACAGCTGCAACTAAGTCATAACCACTGTCTCTCGGAGCTCCCATGGTATTTCCAGCTCCACTCTTTGGCGAGTTGCCATTAATGTCGAGTTCATAAGGTTCACTTGGATACATTCTGTTCCAGATTGCTTCAGTTTGTTTTGTGCAGGTTCCTTGGACAGATGATAAAACATTCCAGTTGTCCAAAATCCCCCCGTACAATTCCTGACAGTCAATCTTATACCGCACCTGGGAACCAGAAAACGTGCATAACTGAGAAAGTTTTTCTTTCAATGGGTAAAGAACAAGCAGAAAAGGACGATAGAGTTCTCAAAGAGAGCAAAACACGTATGCCTTATTGGAGTCTACCGGGTTAAGCCTATGACAGTGCCATATCCATTCGCAGTCAAGAGGCACCACCAGGGGTCCTTCAGAAATCGGAGAATCTATGTGCTTGGCAAGCAGGGGAAGCCAACAACGCTTGTATCTGAAATTAGCACAAAATTGAAAAATCTGAGGACCGATGGATATTGATAGGAGTGCAAAAAAGAAATGCACCATCTTCAAGTCTCTTGCACAGTTGATCATCTCATGATGGGAGAGTGAAACTTCTTTTACTTTGATTAAAACTGAAAAATTGGTTAGGAGTGGACTAAAGTTCCATAAAAAGTTATCTGATGACTGTGCAAGGTGCAACAAATACTCTTGGAATCTCTGTATCTGGGTCACTCAATGGTCCGAGACTCATTCACTGCTCACCGACAAATGGCACGGTCCAACACCGGGCCGCCGTAGAGATGCCGATTCCTATCTACCGCAGCTAGAAACTGTAGTTGTTGCTTAGCACCTGCCACAAGGTCTGTGCTCGTGACTATCTGCTGTGCTTCAGCCCACTCCAGATTTCGTTGCTTCTGCTCCATTACCTGCATAAAGGTTGGCGACAACCATAGAGTTTCAGAATGGGAAAAAAGGTTCTCTTGCTGTTACGCAGGCAACATCCTAATATACTAAAGTAATCTATTATCTTTTCCGGGATTCCTCGTGAAATTAAACTAAAAGGGACCCAAAAGGCAAAACACTGCGTAGATGAATTCAAATCTTGTCATGTCATGCGGGTTCATTAGTTGTTAATGTCTGCAGGGCCTGAAATGCAAATTAACTTTGAAAAACTAACATAAGACCTGTAAGCCTTTTTTCAAAACTTTTGAGGATGAAGCTACATCACCTGTATTTATTCTCCTATTGGTAGATGATAACAGTTTCACGGTTCTAATTCCTACGCGCACTAGGCCATATCTAAGCTCTGTATCTCTAATTCTAATCTTCATTTCGCGAGTCCTACGGATGTAGAATTGTGAAACTAATATTGCAATATGCAAGATTGTGCTTTGTATGCACCGCAAATTCCTTACCATGGCTCTTTCCTTTTGTGATTCTCCGAGGAAATGCTACAACTAAGAAGGCAAAGACAGTGAGGACTCTCAACCTCCTTTATGATGAAGGTGCAATATTTAACTGGATTTGTTTCTCTTCTCTCGGCTGTTGTCTAGGAGTTTGGTATTTATGGATGCCCTAGGATCAACAGGGAGCAAGATGGAGGAATGAACTTGATCTTTGGATATGGTTGAGAACAACAGAACTCTCTTCTGAGTTTTAGTGCTAGTCACACTTTAGGTGCTTTCTTGGATTTCAGTTGCAGTTCTGTGAAGAGTTTTCAGCATGCACGCGAGAAACTTCACTTCTTGTTAGGCTTCACCGTTTCATTGGACGTGTTTCATGTCATGAGTTATATGTGAACTCCTTCAACAGCTCATTGGAGAGACGATTTGTCGTGTTAGTAACTAGTGCATTGATCTCGATTCCCGTGGTTTGATAGATGCTGTGATGGAACACTGTAATGCGAGAGCCAAGTTCGTTGGATCACAACACTGAAGCTAGGGGAGATGTCGTATTTTCCCTTTTCCTAGGATTGGATGACTAATCACCATTTGGTGGGGGCACCAGTTCCATGACACACTTATTTGCCAACCTGAAAAAATCTGGACGATTCATCTTGTTAACTTGCAGGACGAGGAGGGAAAATAAACAGAATTTACACTAGCTCCAAATGAGAAGTGTAAATAATAGGACTTCTGCTGCTAAAAGCGAAGTTTCGAAGAGGGTAAGATTCCCAATGACATATGATGTTATAGTACTATTAAGTTATGCTTTGGTACGCGAACATATCAGGGTTTTGCTCAACTCGACAGCCATTTTCGCGCTTTCTTCTTTTTCGCTTTTTCCCGTCATCACATGCTCTTGTTTTCTCCTTTCAACACTTCTTGTAGGCAGTAAGCTTCTAGAAGGGGAATGCCGACAAGATGCTTCAGAGAATTAGCCTAAATTTAGTCTGTCAGCTTTGAATATCAGAAGCACTTCATGCATCTCTTTGGTCGCGGTGGCTTTTGGTCCTTCCCTAACAGCAATGTACCGTAACCCGGCACCATGCAAGTGCATGCTCATTTCTCTTGGCGCAAAACAACAAGCCATGAGCCTGTGCATTTGATGCATCATGCCTAGCTACTAATTGTGCATCCACTCTTGCGGAGTTCTTTTTTGCAGTGCGTTCGAGCATTTAACAATGTCTTTTCATTCTAATCATTGGGTAAACTACATTTAACCTCGAACCAGTTCCTTACCACAAGAAGAAATGTTTCCCATGTGTATTACTATGAATAGAAGGTGCCAAACTTTGATCTAGGTTACAGGCTCGCGTTGCTGCTAAAAATTTAACAAATTCATTCTGTATGTCTTAACTTTGTCTTACCCTCTTCTGAGTTAAGAGACCAGCTGCACTCTGATATGCCCCGTGGCTAGAAGGGAAATTCCCTTTATTTTTTCTTATTTCTTGGGTTGATAAATGTACTTCAATTTTCACAACATTACCGTATGTTAGAAGGAAACAAATCAGAAACTAACAGGCCATCATATTGCTGAGCATTAACATCAATAAGACTCATGCCTGAGTATACATATCTCCTGAAAACCGCTGCAGTAGAAAGCAAAAGGATTGAGTCCTCCGATCAACCAGCCATGTCCAAAGATCCAGCTGTTTTCACAAGAATAGAAACGAGATGGCCTATGCGTGCTGGCAGCAAATCTGTGGAGAGCTTAAGGTATCAAAAACACCACAAGGAATATTTAGGAGCAAGGATAATGCATATTGGTAACTCGCAAGTTGCAATGCATAAAATCATGTCCATCCAAATTTGCAACCCATAAAAGCACCTTGCAAAGCAGGATATGCTTCGGATTATCGTCATGAGCATATTTGACAAATAATTCTTCCATACAACATCTCAGTCATTTGTTAATCATCTAAAAAACTGATAATGCCTGTGATCAAGAAGCGAACTTGCAACATCCTATGTATAACCCTACTTCTGGATTTCCCTTTTAATGCCGGACAAATGGTGGAGTGCAGAAAATTGTTCGACCAACTTTTTTTTTTTTTTTGATAACCCGGGAACCCCCCGCACGGCCGACAGCCGGAGGGGTAAACCTGGGGTGACACTAGCGCAGGACCCACCACCACGGCGCCACACTTAAGAATCCCTAACGACTACACTGGGGTTCGAACTCCGATCCCTTCGTGGGGGGACAAGAGCGCAAGCCAACGCAGCCGCTGCGGGCGGTGGTTGTTCGACCAACTTTTCTGACTTCAATTTCCAAAAAAGACAATGATTTAATAAGTGTGGTTCAACTAATTAGTGAAATTACCCATTGTTGAAGTTGCATTAGGATGACTCCCTTAGTTTTTGTATCTCATTGTTTCTTTCTCAAAGCCGATTGTTGGAAATTGCTTGGCATACGCTTCCACCTCTTCACGGAGTTTTGCAATTTCAGATTGAACATTGGCATCTGATTGCATGGTTGCCACAAAATCCTTCAACTTAGTTCCTGCACGGGTGAAAATCAGAAAAGTTGAGATAAGCTCACAAACAAAGGATCATGGCCACTTTGAACTTTCTTGTATGTCAGCGGACAAAAGGTGAGAGTCCTTGAACCTTTAGAATTAGCCTTGACCTTCAAGGCCAACTTGACAGCAGCATCAAAGAAATCAGCTACTCTTACAAAATCCTCCTCTGCAAAGCCCCTAGATGTAAGCGCAGGGGTCCCTGAAGCACCAGACAAGGTGAGATAAAAAATCAAGTACCTAGAAGAGATAGCTTCAAAATGATCAAAGGGAAAAGGCTCTCACCCATGCGGATACCACCAGGAACCATGGCAGACACATCCCCAGGGACGGTGTTTTTGTTTGCAGCTATATGAACTGACTCCAATACTTTCTCAACTCTAGAGCCATCAATACCCTATGAAAGGAATGTAAGAGTACCAGTTTGTCATTGAGAACCACTTTGAAATAAATATGTTTTGTTTCCTGACACTGTGACTATTGTCACTGTACCATCAATCAAACACTGGAAGCATTAATATCATATAAGTAATCAGGATCTCCTGCAAAACCAGAGGCTGTTATAAACATTGCCTGAACTGCAGTGATAAGAGACCTTCAGAGCAGCTTAACATCCAATAGACAAACACAAATAATGGGAACAAGCGCACAAACAGTCTATCTCATCAATATTTTACACTTTCCCCAATTGTCTTAAGTCCTACTTTAAGATGTGAGAAACAAAGTGAACAAGTGAAATAGAATCGCACTACAGAGCTTTAAAAGATTTGCTCCATGGCCAGAGGAAACATTAGCGAGACAGTTGTGTACGAGAGAAACTAACTTTCATTATCGGCATAAAAAGTTCTCACTGAGGATATTACACCTAGTGTAAATCAGTCAGTGGAAATAATATCCCCAGTGTTGAAGTAAGTGATTCGCAGATGAAGCAGCACATGAAACAAAACAAAAACAAAAAAAAAAGGAAAAACAAATTAAGAAATTTATTTACCTTGTTCCTCAAATTTACCAAGACCAAATGGTTCTCAGTTCCACCAGATACAAGTTCATAGCCCTTCTCTAACAGACTCTGAACATTTCAATCCACAGTAAATGACCCATGAAGTTATGCTGTGATATTGATAGAAAAGAAGATAAGCAACTGTCAGGAATCTTGTGAACATGGCTTATGGCCCTTAATCACCTGAGCAAATCTTGAGCAATTGCTGAGAACTTGCTCTTGATAGGCCTTGTATTCAGGAGTCATGGCCTACAATCAGATGGAAACCAATGATTTAAAATGGTTTGCTGCAGCATGAAATGTACAAAACAGACAAAAATAGAAATCAATCCCAAAAATCCTTTTTGCTTGTGAAACCTGCTTGAGTGCAACAGCTAAGCCAGCAATGGTGTGATTGTGAGGGCCTCCTTGAAGTCCAGGAAAAACAGCCTGATTGATCTTGTCTTCATAGTCATAGAGAACCTAAAGAATATAATTTTATAATTGATCAATCCAGAAGTATTCAAGACCCTAACTTCCGCCCATTTATGCTACAAACTTTTGGATGTTTGGCATGCACAATAAGGAAAATGTGCAACCCACCTCTTTCCCTTGCTTGTTGATCTCTTTCACCCCCTTTCTGAAGAAAATCATCGCTCCACGAGGCCCACGAAGTGACTTGTGAGTGGTAGTTGTCACGATATCAGCATATTCAAAGGGAGATGGGATGACTCCAGCAGCAACCAACCCGCTAATGTGAGCCATATCTGCCAGTAGTATAGCTTTTTGTTTGTCACAGACCTGTGGAAATCCAGTAGGGAACAGCATAGCAAGCATAAAAGGTATTAGAGAATTGCGGCAAGGATTATGAAGCTGAATAACACAAGTCGTCAAGGTAATTCACCTTTCTTATACGTGCATAATCATAGAGTCGTGCATAGGCGCTAGCACCAGCTACTATCAACTTTGGCCGATAGAGGATCGCACTTTTCTCCAACTGTAATGGCCAAGTAAAGTTAAATTCAGCCAATTACTAATTCCGCGAAGTTATTGTTGAATCTGGAATTTTTTTGAAAAATCAGACCATTTAACTATTCAACAAAAAGCACAACCACACTTTTAAGCATTAAATTTTCTAGACTATTTTGGTAACTTTACTTCTAGTCGATGTCAAGCGGATTCCATAATATTTGCATAATTCGAAAATAAAAAATACTCAGATATTGCCTTGAATCTAATTTCATCAATTGCTATCAGAGAAATAGAAGAGAAACTTTTCTAAAGTATAATGCAAAACTCTAATGTGGCTAATTCAATGTTTAGCCTTCCTGCAATATTAAAGAAAATAGATGTCGCTTGCTACATCAAATAGACCATCCAAAAACATAAAGAAGTCAGAAGGTAGTTAAATTCTTGCAGTTGAGTGGTTTAATAATATATGCTTGGCCAAAAGAAAAAGGAAAAGAATGATCTAATATGTCATTGTGACATTTGTGTTCATTATTTGGTTATGTTTGTATTCATTTACGTGCAGTATATATCAATAAGAGAAGATTTTGACATAAGACAACAGGACAGAGAGCCCACACAACTTAACCATGACTCACATTTTAGTACAGGATATCATTGGATTCCTTATATGTAAAGTGCACCTAATCTACTGAATGCATCACCAATTCATTCATGCAT